TAATGATAATTATAATGGCATTGCTAGTAGTGGTAGTAAAGATAGTAATAATGATAATGATAGTGATAATGATAATGAAATAGATAAAAGTAAGCATAGAAAAATAGAAATATTGATAACAGTGATGACAATACTATTATGATTATGATGATGGTAATGATATTGATAGAGGCAGTAATAATGGTTTTGATACTATTAAGAATAATCATAATAATAATGACAACTTATTCTAAGAATAATTGTAATAAAACGACGATAATGACACAAATCGCAAATCCGAATGGATCAAATGACATTTACATAAAATTGATACCAACAAAAATGCATGTATAATAGGTATGAAAGAGAATTGATATTTTCACAATAATAGAGACGTATTTGACCGGTTTCAATTATATCTTCGTCAGAAATACATGTATTTAATACATGTGTGTAATCGAAACCGGCCAGATACATATCTTGAATTGTGAAAATATTCATTCTCATTCATACCTTTTATACATTATGTCAATATAAAGAGGGTTCAAATAAATGCATATCTTGGCCTTTCCATTTCCACCATCAGCATCATAAAGATTACATGTATAAAGAAGTACAGTTCATCTTCAGAGAATTATCCGGGCGATAACTAGAACATAAAAAAACACTATATTTACGTCCACATGAGGTCAACAACGAATCAAATGCTATAACATTAAAAAACACACTTTATATTTACGTTCATATGACGTTATATCCAAAGCATTTAAGAAAATACTGGATGTGATCTAGAGGCACACGCCAGAAAGTAAAGACCCGGAGTTACACGCCGAAAGTAAACGCTCGCATAGTCTAAACACATACCGAGCGGGAGAAGAGTTAATCTCGCCAAGCACCGAGTACAGTTATTTTATAAATGTCTTTGTTTGATATGTGTTTTTTCTTGATTGTGCATTGTACTTACACTTGCAGTCTATCTGTTTGCGCAGTGTATGTTTTGTTTTCGATTCATATAAATTTATTGTTTTACATTTGTGTACGCGTTTATATTATGTAACTTGTCTATCAAGTGTTATATTTACTAAGTGTCCCATTTATTAATCTTGTGAGTGGCTTTACCTACGAATATATTTACTAGTTTTACTGTATTTGTTTCCAGAGCGTTTTCATTTCTTGATATTTTCGGGTCATTATTTTACTATAGTTTCGCTAGCCGCATGACCCTCCTGATTTTTTTTAGTTTAAATTCCATATTACACATTTCATATCCTTCCGTGTAACGTAACAGAAATTCACCAGTGTTCACTGCGACAAATAAATAAGTATGAATGAGAATGGATATCTTCACGGTGCATAAAAAGTATGAATGAGAATTTTGTTTTGATTATATCATCGTCTGAAATATATGGATTTCTAACGAAGATCTAATGGAAACTTATTAAATACAGCTTTTACACTGTGAAAATATTAATTCTCATTCATATGTCAGAAGAGATCGTGGGGATCCCAACGCCTTGATAAGAAAAGATCCATGAAGGAAGGAGCTTGCTAGCAGTCTGAATTTGGGTCAGTAGGTGTGTGAGGGGGTTATGTATGGGTGTGGATATATATGTGTATGTTTATATGCACGATTAACTTTGCATTCGCTCAAGAATACATTCGGTTCAAACAAGCGCTATTTATAGAAATATCAGAGAACGTAGTGCCACACAGATGAAAATCATAAAACAACACACTTGCAGTGAAGATAGGAGTGGCGTGGCATCTTTCACCTCCTTCGGAGCATTAACAAACAAACAGATAAATATATATGTATATGCATCTTATCCTGCTCCCAGCATGATGCAAATATATTGATTAACCTCTTAAATTCATTCCTCACTCTGCGTACAAATGACATTGCGAATCCATTGTAAAATACAGCAACGTCATAAAATGCCGCCATGAATCAAAAAGCCAGAGATCCTGCCACACAGCATCATGAGGCAGCTGGCCGCTTCCATGCTGAGGAAGGTCATCAACAGGCCAGCAGGATCACTGCAGCATCACGTATACACCTAACCCGAGGGAAAGGCACACCCTGTAGTTACTACGTCACCGCGCTGTGATAATGTGCTTGACCGCCTCCGTGTACGAGTTTTGGTTGTATTTTCCTCTCTCTTCACACACCTTTCTTCTTTTATTTGACTAATTCGTCCTGTTCATACGTGTATTCTTGTTCCCAACGCGCCAGCTCTGTTTAATCGCCAGTGCTATTTTTCACTAGCATCATCACAGTCGATAGGCGGTGTTAAGAGAGCATGGTCTGATTGTAAACATTTAAAGGCGGATTCGATCACTCTTCAAGCCCTTTGCATTTCTCTTCAGATAAGTTGTATCACCGTGGAGTATCCAGTTGACGTCCAGTTAGTTATATTTTAAGAGTGTTTTAATCGAGTACGCAAGTGTCTAATTGTATTGATAAAGTACATTGTAGAAGCAAAGTTAAAATGGAGCTTTAGTGGTTTTACATTCATCGCTAGTTATGGGTGATGCATACAGAGCCTGGAAGCTCCTTGTAAAGTTGAAAAGAAGATATTATGAAACTTTAAAATATCAATGTTTTATATAAGAACAAAAGACAAAAACAAACGAATAACTCAAATGGTTGCAATATACAGTAAGTTCTAGAAAGTTACAAAAATGTTGGAGGCCCTCAATAATGAGCGATGCCCCAATTTATAGCTCTTTTAGCGTCACGCTGATATGAATGCGGATCGACGTATGTCACCAATAGTATTTCTTAATTGCTTATTTTACTTTTCTTAAACATCGATAGTTCAAGCTTTCATCTGACTAGAATATATTACGATTTTTAGATATGTTATCCTAATTCATGAGTATAAGACGAAATACTAAAACTTGCCACCTACAAAATCCAGTCTACAATTTACAATGCGTCCATGCTATATAAGATTCTGAACAGATAATATCTGTGTCCCTATGCAAACCAACCACATTTTACTTTGTTATAAATTACCTATTGATCCTTTGGGTTCCTTCATTTCTGGCACGGAAATTTGCTAGACTGAAATGTAAACAAAGATGCAACGTAACACGTAGCGGAAGGCACTCGTTCAGGTGTTCCCATGAGGTACGAGTGTTGCCGCGCGTCGGTTTGTTCTATGAGGAAGGACGTGGCACTTGTTTGTTACTGTCCCAATGTGTCAGTGACCTTACTAGAACGCTTACTGTGTATTTTGGCCCAGAATAGTATATATACACAATAGCGATACATATACCATATGGTTGCTTACGCCAACTGGAATATTTATATCTTTATGCAAGTCATCATGAACAAGTACTTTCTGAGGGGGAATACGGCGTAGAGAACCAAAAGCTGATACTTGGCAAGACGACGAGGATTTTGCCAGTGACGTCATACTCTGCCATGCATATTTATGATGGTAATATACACCATGACCGTCTTATCCGTAAAAACAACAGAAATGTGCGACTACAGTTTCTTGGCTTTATTAAATAACGTAGCTCCCTTCAAATCCACCAAAAATACTTGCTAATTAGGGTTCTCACATTTATCTGTACGCTGTGTGCCATCTCCAGTTAAATCGATCCAGGATATATGGATAATCTAATGGCATAAAATAAAGACAAAATCTTTGTTCTTGATACAATCAAAAAGCGCACGAAATATCTCATGTTATCAACCTGGTTGAATATAACGTAGTGATGAAAAAGCATGAAAATCATGAAGGATATAGAACAAGAAACCCTGGCTGTGAAAGTGAAGGAGATGAGTGTGTCCAGGACTGCGTTGATATGCAGCCAAGGCATCACATTGCTAAACTCCTCATCCCCCTCTCTTTGCTTTCCATGGTATATGTGTGTATGTATGTATATATATACATACATACATGTATGCATGCATTTGTATATATTCATTTATTCATGTATACACACA